GCACAGCCTCCTCGAGACCTGCAAGGGAAGGGGGCAAGAGAAGAACGGTAGAGGCTATGCGGGAACGTGGTGTTAAAATCGCCTACACCACCTCCACCAGCTGACAATATGCCGGAGTTGATGTTAGCCTTTGCTTTAGGTTTGGCTTCCTTTTTCCTTATTCTCAAACTCTGGGCTTTCCCTAAGCTGCTTCTATAGATATCAAGCTTTGATAAGATCATGCGGATCAGAAATCATCGTCAGAGGCTAGGGGCTCTTTTTGTTGACAATGGAAGCTACACTGACCGCTCTCTTATAGTGTCGTTACGAATGTTGTCCAACTACCGGCAGTTACTCGTACCGATACGGGCTTCACTTTCTTCAATCATAGGCCAATACTCATGGGGGAAGGCATTCAACTTCCCATGGAACTTTGAATTGAGACCCAGATATATCGATAGAGCTTCAAACGCTGATTACAAATATGGAAACTAAAACTGCAAAATGAACCTGCCAAGGAAGTTGTGAGCAGTCAAAGTTGGCTAAAGTAAAGCGTTGCATATGAACCGTGCTGGATCCCAGGCTTTCAGAGTCGCCGCGGAGTAGTGGTAGTGCCCTCGCTCTTCATAGGAAGGTCATAAGTTTGCTTCCCATTGGAATGCACTCGAAAGTACGACCACTCTCCATGGCGAGTTTGAAAGCTTGGAGGCCAGCACGATTCCATCGACATCCGTAACGCTTTACTTCCAGCCAACTTTGACTGCTCACAACTTCCTTGGCAAGTTTTAGTTTCCATATTTGTAATCAGCGTTTGAAGCTCTATCGATATATCTGGGTCTCATCTCAAAGTTCCATGGGAAGTTGAATGCCTTTCCTGGTAATATCGTGAATCATCTGGTTGGTTACGAGTTCTCTAGACCTTCAGTTTGAGGCGTCCCGATATCTTCTTCTTCTTCTATCCCCCCAATGATGTATTTAAGTCATAAAAGGCTGTGCCTGCCAGGGTGAGAGGCGAAGTCAGTAGAGAACGTCTTCTAGTAAATGTCATTCGTGGAGAAGTTTTGGGGATCGATCTGACTCCACTTCTAGCACGCTGTAGAGCGTCAGACTGCGTCCTACATAGTTCATGTCCATTTATGACGCAACCATATTAACCCCGCTTCAAATTTTGGCCATTACTGTTTAGGGGGGTGCAAAAGAGGAAACATGTAAAAGGACAACCTGTTGTACTCTCAAAGGTCCTTTCCAGAAAAGTGCCATCATAGCTAATACGAAGAAATTATAATGGAGGATTAGCACCAACACGGTCGAAACAGGAAGATCAATCCTTTCGAGGATTTTGCTGAAAACAAAAACAATTTTCCCATAATTTTATATGCGACTGCCATACGATAAGGCACTGAAACATTCTTAGCGGGCAAACAATTGGAAATGACCGAGAACATTACTTACTGGTATTGCATGCATGACATTATTGTCAGAACAGTGAAAGTAGTGAATATAACAAATCCAAATAGTAACTGAAAAACGAGTTAGGTAAATCGTTTCATGTAAATTCAAGCCCTTCGAAAAACTGTAGAATCTTCATTTCTTTCTGTTTTACTGACAGAATGAAAACTTTGCGGAGTAGTCACGTCCTTGGGGGCGGGGGGGAGGGGACACCCACAACAGCGCCGATGGTGGGGTGACACTATGACCACGCCCCGAAGGGGGATGAAACCCCAGGGCACACATATTGCTCGCATCCACCCACAGAATCCCTGCCTTTGCCCAAGGCTCAATCCCAAGCACAGAAATTGGCTCACTCACTTGAATGGCCCCCTCCCCCAACGACAAGGGCGTCGATTCGGAGTAGTGAAGTGAAGTGTCACAGTTTTAGTATTTCAACGCAACAGCGTTATATAACATGCGTTTCGGAAAAAAGCATTGTCGGGTCATTTCTCCGAAAAAGCGCACCCATGCTATCGGAACTTATTGCGAGCACCAGATGGGAGGTCGAAGGTAGAAGGGATAGTACATCTAGCCGAAGGTAGGTGGACCGTCAAAAGGTGGGGACGCATGAGCGTTCTTGCAGCGAATTGCTATACCCCAGCGGCTTATCATTCACAGGACAGTCGCATGGAACTTGGCCGTTTATTCTCCGCGTGCACAAATCTGACAATTCGGTAAATGTGCGTTCGCAGACCATTCTGAAAGCGAGCACGCATTTCGACTTGGCCGACTTCTTTGAATTGCTAGCTGATCCAAACCCAGAAGCGTAGAGCTGGAAGGGGGGAGGGCTTCTGCCCATTGAAGCTTCGAGTGAGGAAATGTTCGCGCCGTATAGCTCGGTGATTTACCTTGAACTTGGACTGCTTCTCGACTAAATTTTGCAAGTTACGTCACCAAACCTCTTTCATTCAGATTATTCCGATATTATGTGGCACCAGGAACGTCTCTGAGGTTATGACGTACCCAATCATAACCGTGCTTCCCACACCAATGCTGAGGATTCATTCTAACCTAATGTCACTACAACGATGAGATCTTCTGCTTAAAAGACCCTTTCTGTTAGATCTCATATACAGTCCCTCCACGAGGTGCTGAGCCAAAAAGTGGAAGTAAGCATAGCGGAGGCCGATAAAACTTATGCAGGGAAGGGAGGTGCCGACGGCTGCAGAGGGGAGCGGACAACAGAATTTTCTGAAGGATTGGAGGATTTAAATCATCCGCTCATTGGTTGAAGTTGAACATTAAAGGGATAAGCCCGCTTGGCGTTAGGTGACGACCAAACTTGAACTGACGCCACAATGGAACTTCGTCCCTTGCAGCCACGGTTCACGACCAGCTGGCGCAGCGGACGATTCTGTTGACACACTCCCATCAGGAGACAAAATTGGTCCACAATATTGAGGAATTTCATTATCCAAGCAATAAGGAATTAAGTTGTTACGGAGAAGCAAATAAAAAGGAACGGCGCCCATTGTGCTTGCAGGAGGAGGGGGGGCGGGGACATCAAAACAGAGCGATAGGTGGATGAATTTGGTAATTTTAAGCCCAGCATAGCGGAGGACGTCGGCAGAAACGCCAAATGCCTCACGCCGTCAGAGGGGATCCCTTCCCCGCTGAGTCTTTGGTTTACTCCAGCGCCCAGTAACTCACTTGATATATGTCACTCCCAAGGATAAATGAGCACCAAAGAAAGATTTGAAAATAGGTCTAAGGAACGACACATAGTGCAATATTTGTAAGAAAACACTCACACAAGGGGTTAAATAAAAAAGGAACACAACGACAGTAGTGGCTATGACGATAACTCCCAAGAGGATACCAGCATTGGCGAGCGAGTGCCAAAATTCGTATAGCATGGTGAGCAGCATCCGCTTTCAGTATAGGACCACAGTATGCGACTGAACCGTGGGCTCGTGAGTCATTCCGGAGTCTCTTTGCTACTTCTTCACCGTTTTCTCTAGCCAAACCACATTGTGCCTTCTTTTCTTCTGTTCTTGCTTTGATAGATATTCCAAAGCACTTACGATGGCATTACGTGATCATCTGCGTAAGTTTCGATATTTCTCACACACAGGACTACAATCAGCATACAGATGGAGACTGGAACGAACACCTTCACCATATCCGAACTGCCGTACATACGCCTTTTCGACGACTGTGATGAGGATGGTGACGGCGACGAGGGCTTCTCTTCTGGAGCAGTTGTTGTGGCTGAAAAAAACAGCCGAATTATTGGATGGCAAGCAATTTCATTCGCTTGTTACTCCTATTTTACAAATTTCGCGACTGTGCTTAACAGAGAGTCTCAGTCACCCTTGGTTTAGGAAATGTGCCCCAACGGAATGGCTGGCCGACGGTTAAGTATAACCTGAATCTGAGGTGACGTAACCGCGCCCTCATCGACTGTGAATTGGGTATGGAGAGTAAGTGGGTGGCTTCAGGCGGATTTGTGGTTGTCCGTGTTGATTAGAACTTTCAAAGTGGATGTCATACATTACTGACATAATTCTATCTCGATTGAACTTCGATGTACATTATGACAGCCAGCCTGAGCTTTGGGTGCTAACTTAGTTGGGGGGGGAGGGGGAGGAGAGACCACTTTGCGACGCGATGCTGATCTGTTGTTCTGCAAATTTGATGTCACCATAGTCACAGGGACTAAGGGTGAAAATCGTGTCAAGGAAATGGTCGCAGAAGTAGGACCCCGTACACCCCTCCCCCTGAAATCGAGGTCTTCGAACTCGTACCAACGATAGCGCCGTTCATATAGGAGGTGGAGGATGGACACACGCTCGCGCGCGGCGCTCAGGCTCCCGCCCGCGCGGCGGAGCGTACGCTGCGACGCTCGACCATTTTGGATTGCTGCCCTGGACCGAAGGGGTAGCGTCGTTGTTGGCATGACCTTCAGAATGGCTACCGCAGAAAGCGCGTCGATGCGAGCGCAATGTACGTGATTGCGGCAGGAACGTCGTAATTCACGCCTTACTTCAGGTGCTCGCTCTGTCCAAACGGCTTATCTCCTCATCGAATCGATCAATAAGTATCTTATATCCGCACACTACCCTAATTTACTATTATTCTATTCTCCTCGTCAATACATGTTGATACGTCAATATATGTTTTTCATTGTCGCGTACTATCCCTATCCTAATCTCCCGAGTCGCGAACTATGAACGCGGCCAAACCATTTTGAAAGAACGCTCACGAGCGCTCAAAGCTCGCTTCTCCGAATAGTTTGGAAAAAGCATAGATAAGGAAAGAACAGCGGGATCAGAAGTAAAATTTCGTACTTCCCTTCTCCGTCGAAGCGCCTTCATTTGTCTCTGGTGTCTCCTGATCTTCATCTTTATCCTTCGATAAACGCTGGAATGAACCATGTGATGGCTGTGACTGCTACCTCACTTCGCCAATTCTGATCATTATGAGCACCTACCGTGGACGGCTTGGACTTTGACGACCTCTCGCTCATCACAAGCGCATCAACCGCCTATCAGCAATAATGATGCAGAATGCTTAGCACGCTCTTTATCAAACTTATTCAGTCATGATAAGTTTGCTCATAGATACCGTATCAATAGTTATCAGAGCTATAGCCATTTGAATTCAGAACGAGATTAGACTGCATTCAATTTTTCACATGTTGAGATTCGATCAGTGTTCGACAACATACGGGAGCATAGCTGAGGCAGTGCGTTGAAAACCGCGTAAACAATCCTTCTTGACGCTATTAGTGCACTTGCCCGGAAAGCGAGAGGTGCGGGTTCTAGTCCCGCCTGGGGCGAAAGTTTTGTTCACAACCCAGCATTCTTGTGAAACATTCGCAACGCGAACTGCGGCGTTAAAACAGCAGTTAACAAACAAAACAAGTCAAAATTTCTTGGCACTGTTTCTTTTTTTTTTTTGGGGGGGGGGGGGGGGAGGGCGCATCCAGGTGACTGGTGAGAGAACACACTGCATTGATTCCTTGAAACTTAAGCCGAAAGAGGAGAAGGTGGGATTTGGCAAGAGGATATTGAGCAACTTACCTTTTATCAAAAAACTGAACAAAGCGTCCAGGCGGGGGGAGTGAGAGGAGCAATTTCAATTTCCCCTAATAATCTACCCTCCCACAAGATGTCCAGGGGCAAGCTGCAGCAATCCTCCGGCGAGGAGATGGGTCCCCAAAACTCGCATCACAGGACGCATCCCCCTATTCTTGATCACGGGACTACGTCATCGACCGGAGTGGAGATATAGTTTTGGGGACCATCCCTGGCCGGGCTATCGTAGTACCTGGGGGCCGGGGGCTTGCCTGCACCCGGCCCCAGTCCGTACGCGACTAGCGCAGACTTCGGATTGCACGGGAGCTGCCTCTTTCGGTGTTCGACGCTCAGATGTCCTTCCATGTGAGTGGATCCAACAGCGTAAACGACATGCATGGGCTAAACATTAGCACTTAAAGCGCACATTTCCATCGACTGCGGTGAATATCTGCTGTGAAATGTGTTTATCTCTAGAAGAGCAGCATGCTCTCTGCATACATACATCATAACACCAAGTAAGGCAATTTATAGTCACGAAAGTCTATACTAGAGCCGCCGCTGGTTGGAATGAGGCGGGGTGCGGTCTGGAGAGCTGAGGTCACAAGCGAAAGTCTCCAGGAGGGAGGTCGTCAAATTTTGGAATTTGAACAGCGGACGGTTATCCCTGATCACACCACAACCATCGCCTCTGTCCCTTTTTCGCCCTTTGACACCGAACAGTACACCAAATGACTACATTTATTATTGCTGAATTTGTGAATGACTAGTGACAAAATTTCATGCTGCAGCTTCAACGGCTTCCTTCTCTCCTGAAATTTCAGAAAAACTTTGAAATCCGGAGAAATATTAACGATTTGGACACATCAGTAAATGTGAATGAGGCAAATACTCACGCTTCTCATTGGCTGCCGACTGAAATGAATAAAAAAATCAGTCGGGTCCTTATAAGAAGAGCTCGGCGCTCATGTCGTTGCGGGGGGGGGGGGGTTGTGACGTGAGCCAACTACACTACTTGGGAACCAAGATGCGCATCCTCACCACCAGCTATCAGGACTGCAAGCAGGGTCAACCCTATGTTGCTACAAGTAGCAACGGGGGGTCGTATTTTGATGAGTTTGTAGAGGGGGGGTCGTACTTGCTTCGGTTGTAAGAAGTTGCATGTGATGAGTGGGGAGCGGCGCGGGAGAAAATTTGCCGTTTCAGCGCGCGTATATACCCCCCCCCTCCCCTTCCCCGCCCCCCACTCGACGGTAATTTTTTGGGGCTAATAAATTAAGAATAAATCAAATTTTAGGGAAAAAAGAGAAACAACTGAGTAAGTTCTCAAACCTCTTTAAATTCCTTCTTCACAATATCTTCAGGTTTAATGTCACTTCGTTTCATAATCTTTACACTCTCCCATTCACTAGCGTCCAGCTCAATTGTCTTGTATTCAGGATCTTTTGCCTCCTTCACCTCTTTCATTGGACGTTTCGCTTTCCTATGAATTACTTCGTTACAATAAGTACTATTAGCAGCTTCAATGCAGTAAATAGATGTCTGGTGTTGAAAAACCTCTAATTCAGAACTCAAAATTGTTTCTTTTTCAC